ACACATCTTGTTTTTACACTGAAAGAAAAAGTTTTAAAAAGGTAAATCCTTCTCCAAGCCATGAGCTTCATAAGGCTGGTGCTTATACCTGATGTCTGTGATGCTAAGCAGATGAGAGTCATTGACTCTCCCTGGATTGGACACCAGTTTAACCCCCAGCATAAGCTGGTACCCATTGCAGCTGGGTGGACTGAGACAATGCAGATAAAGTGCCTTGTCTGAGCTGATACAATATGGAACATCAAGTGCCAACAGTGTGGTCTGAACCAGCTACCATTGGGTTACTGGCCAAACACCTATTACCACCTAAGACTATTGAGCTATATGCTCCAATATATAAAATTGGGTAGCTATTAATTTTTTCCCTTAGATAAATAAATGTTTGTAAAATATAAATGATGGTGGATCCAGATGTGGGGGGGGGGCATGATGTACTCCCCCTTTTTCAGGACATATACCATAATTAAGGATACCCTAAGAAACCCTGTCCCCAAAAAACTTAACCCTTTGTGTGCGGGAACCCAATATATTGGGTCTGACGTCACAAACGCTTGCGTGCGGGAACCCAATATATTGGGTCTGAGTTTGCAAGTAGCGCTTTGTCACATAAAACGTCAATAAAAAACCGCATAAATAAGTAGTTAAAAATGATTGTTGCCAGCTAGGAATAAAACTTCCAAAATAAATGCCCATTTCTTAAAGAGTAGGGAGTATTAAGTGGGGGGGGGGGGGGGGGGGGGGGTTGATGAATGTTAACTAATACTATACAAGCAATATTGGACAAATGCATCTTCCTCTATAAAAGCACAGTAAGAAAGATTTTTACAGGTATAAGAATAATAGAGTATAATTGGGGCTATAAGATACGATTTCATTATCGGTGTACCAAATTTGAACCAAGATTTCCTGACCCGAAGACTGCATATTCCTTAACTGGGGATCAAATTTTCTTATATGGTTGCTAATATACTGCTAAAAAGATCACTGGATTTGGATTTATCGGATAACTGGAATTTTATAATTATGTTCTTTTTGGATATAAACTGAAAATGTTGTATTATGTTTAATTCAGTATTCACTTAAACATATTCCTAATTCAGATAAGTATACAATAAGTCTTTCCACAACATATTTATGACATTGAATTATTGAATAATTTATATATATATATATATATAATATTAAATCTAAAATTCAGTTTTTGAAGCAAATGATTTATTTTTTATCAAAGCAACATTTTTTCTGAACATTATAAGTTAAAAAAAACTCAAGAATCATTGTTTTTTTGTATATTTTTGAAAAAATTTTTACCATGGCAACATCAAATATAAGAATTTTTAGAAAAAAAACTTTATCAATTCAAAAAACACAATATTTGCTTCATATTTGCCAAATTTCATGCAAATTGGTTGTCAAAATTTTAAGATATTTGCATTCAAGTAAGCCAATGTGACAATTTTGTCAATATTCCAAAACAACTCAGTACTGAGGCTACCACTCACTTAAAACAAGTCAGCACACAAAGGGTTAATTTGGCCTGATTCACCTCAGGTGACAACCCCACTCAGACCTGATGATTTGTGATGTCTCCCTTCTAAATAGTCCATAATTATAACTTAATTTTGCCATAAAAAAAAACAGGTATGTGTGTTATAAAATGAATTTCTTTATGGATTCCAGGAATTTATATCACAATTTTTGAATTTAAGGTTTCCTTATGGTATTTGCAGTCTACTGACTTAAGGAAATCTTTTAAAGTCTGGTAATTAAACATTGTTGATTTGGCTGTAAGATAAGCATTAAATGAAAGTATTGTTAAATTTTTAAACTCAGGGAAAATAATAGTCTTGATGTATTTAAGAGTTACAGTGAAATGCATCATGAAATAATGTTGAAGTTTGCAACATGAATGTGTAAATGACAGACTGGGCACAAATGAAATAAGTATAAGTGTTTCAGGGGGTATGGACTGTTATTAGACCAGAGTTTATGCATTTAGGCTATTCCAAGTTTTTTCTCTGTTTAGGCAACCCTCAGCAGACTACGCTACTCTTCATACAAACCTCAGATGTGATTGGTGGAGGAAATGCATCAAATCAATGCATTTCTCTGCCAGAAGTACCTTTTACTCATTTCATATTTTGCATTGCATAAAGTTCACTGGAAAAATATTCTAGCTTTTGTAATGTTTCTTTGTATATTTATTTTGATTGCAACCCTCTGTCAGTAGTAATTGAAAGCAGAATTCTAGTGTTGAAAATGCCACAAAGTAAACCGAAATTCAGAGAAATGATATTTGGAAAAATGTTGAATTCAACTTTCATGATTGTATAAACAAAATGATTGAACACTTTCCGTTCATGTCCGTGGTTAGTGTGTGAGGTAGGAGCCACCTGAGGAGCTCCGAGTGCTGTTTAGGGTCCACTTTTCAATCAAAATCCTAACTACTTATTCACAAAAACACGCAAACTAAAAAAATTAAAACATACACTCTATAGTGATAAATCTGACATCATTCAGAAGATTTGATTTCATAATTCCTCTGCAAAATCAAGGTATTAAATAATAAATAAATACCTAATTTGACAGATTTAAACAACAAAAATATAAAAAAAATTGAAGAATTTCTATCTTTTTAACCAAAATGATCAATGTTAACTTAAGTTTGGACTTTTGATTTTGTGTGCTTTTTCTGATCTTGGATGTCAAAAAATAAGGCACAAGCGGACCCCTAACACAAGAAAAAACTGAGAATGGCCCTATCAGTATGCCCAGTCAGCTAGTGTCACATCGTGTTTACAAATGAAAGGCTCAAAATAATATAAACAGGAAGGATTATTCAATCTGATTTTTTTTTTTATTTCCCTTATCATATAAAATTCAAGGAAGGTTTTTGCCATCTCCAATCACAATTATTTAAATTAATTTCATATATATATATATATATATATATATATATATATATATATATATATATATATATATATATATATATATATATATATATATATATATATATATATATATATACAGAGTATACATATATATACAGAGTTGTCCCTAAGAATTTAAATAGCAGGGGAAATTAAAACAAGAGGCCCATGGGCCACAACACTCACCTGAGTGACTTTGGCCCTGCTAGTCTTCACCAGATTTTCCCCCTTGTAATACTTACTGTGGCCCCAACCTACTCCCGGGGATCATGATTTGAACACTTCAGAATCTACATTACCTTAGGAAGCTTCCACATAAATATATATATATATATATATATATATATATATATATATATATATATATATATATATATATATATATATATATATATATATATATATATATATATATATATTTTAATGTAAAACTTTGATTCCCTATTATGGCCCAGTCGTACCTCCAGGTCATGATTTGAACAATTTAGAATCTACACTACCCAAAGATGCTTTCACATAGGTATCAGCTTTTCTGGCCCAGTTGTTCTTGAGAAGAAGATTTTTATTAATAAAGATCTTTCCTATATATTTCTATGTAAAAATTTTGATTCCCTATTGTGGCCCCATCCTACACCCAGGGGCCATGATTTGAATAATTTAGAATTTACTATACTCCAGGATGCTTCTATATAAGTTTCAGCTTTTCTGGCCAAGTTGTTCTTGAGAAGAAGATTTTTAAAGATTTTCTCTTATATTTTAATGTAAAACTTGGGATTCCCTATTGTGTCCCCATGCACCCTATCCCCAGGGGCAAAGATTTGAACAATTTAGAACCTACACTACCCAAGGATGCTTTCACATCAGTGTCAGCTTTTCTGGCCCAGAGGTTCTTGAGATGAAGATTTTTAAAGATTTTTCCTATATATTTTGATATTATGACCCCATCCTACCTCTGGGGCCATGATTTGAACAATTTAAATTTACACAACCCCAGGATGCTTTCACATAAGTTTCAGCTTTTCTGGCCCAATGGTTCTTGGAAAGAAGATTTTTTGATGACCCCACCCTATTTTTGTCTTTTCTTAATTATCTCTCCTTGAAAGGAGACTTGGCCCTTCATTTTAACAATTTAAACTCTCCTTCACCCAAGAATGCTTTGTACCAACTTTGGTTAAAATTGGTTCAGTGGTTCATGAGAAGAAGTTGAAAATGTGAAAAGTATACAGACAGACGGATGACAGACAACAGGTGATTAGAAAAGCTCACTTAAGCTTTCAACACAGGTGAGCTAAAAAGTAGAAAGGTGTCTTCCCAAACAGAGGGTTGAGGGGGAATACCAGAATAACCGGGGGAATACATCATTATAGGTGGGGAAATTCACCGGTCCCTGGGTCTTAAGGACAATCCTGATTCGTATATATATATATATATATATATATATATATATATATATATATATATATATATATATATATATATATATATATTACATATATAAAATCTATTGATGTCAGCATTTTTGAAAATTAAAACGCCTACAGAGCTCTGCATGATACAAAGTCCCAATAATTCTATGAGGCATCTGTTACTGCTTCTAACTCATTGGTGGACTACTAGTCAGCTAAGCCAGGTGATGATAAAGAATTCCCTGTTCAGGGGTCAATCAATGAAAGGGACAAAAACTCTGGTAGCCGCTACTGTAATTAAGGTATCAGTTTACTATATCTGCCATAAAATCTCCACCATTCTACAGGATAGAAAGAGCCTGTAACTGTTTAGTGTTACATTTATTAAAACTAATTAAACTGATATTTCTGTGACATTAAACTTTATAATTCCAGAGAGGAAAAACTTGGGACTAAATTAAGTCTGCAGTCACACATGATGATATGTATATACAATGTTCAATACATGTATTTCATACAAAGGTGTGTGAACTTTTGAGGTGACTAATATATTGAACGAAGAGACTGAGCTTGGAAGTTTGTGTTTAGGGCGTGCACATCTCAGCTTCAGTCTGGCTGTTGGCAAGCTCTGAGTACAATCTCACTCTGAGACAAGACTAGCTAGGTTTTTATTGTTATATATATCATTACGAGTGGTTATTCTGTAATCCTCGTTTCATACAACTAGGCTCCTTGTGTGTACACTTCCTTCCTGTTTCGGCACAGTTCAACAGGATTTGTTTATTTTGTTGTAAACATCTAGGATTTACTTGTCTATCCATTGACATTTAGTAATACATGCACAGGACTTGGGTGAGTAGTTTGACTGTATTCATGTGCTCAAATTCAGGTCTTAAATTTTAAGCCATATAATCTAAACATGATTTGCAGTTTAAATTAACTGTTGGTGAAATTGACAGCTAAACTCTATCTAGCTGCACAATGTAGAAATATGCAGAAATCACTTGTCATTATATAAATGTCTCATGTAGACTGAGCTTTTGTTACGTACTATACATGTAGGTACATTTCACAGAACATGTACGTATCTCTTTATACATCAGTTAATTTGTTCATCAATTTTTTACAAAGTTTGAGCTACAAGGCACGTACTGCAAAACAACAGGTGTTGTAAAAGAGGTAAACATTTAATCTTTATTATCGATGAATCTGTGTTTTAACTCGAATGTATATATTTATATGAAAAAGCAACATTACAGTTTTATAGAGATTTGGTGATAATGTTGATTTGACTGTAAAATGTTTTGTATGAGGTTGTCCACCCTGCCACACCCTTTGCTGTTGACCTCACTTATTATGAAAGATTGCAATCTTTTATGTATCTATAACTAAAAAGAAAAACAACACATCAGCTTTCGTAAAATACGTTTCAATAAAGTGAATAAAATAATCAGTAAAATTATAGTGATAATTCACACTATTGGTAAGTTTTAATCGACAATTCGTTAAATATTATGTCAGATTGAGATGCACAGAATGTGTGAATTCTCACATCCCTGTAACATTGAGCACATCCTTGAGTTTTTGCCAGCTGGCAATGCATGGTGATCTCATCCTTCAGTAATTATGTGTACAAATGCAATCCTCCTTAATGACAAATGGTAACCTAGCCCTTTGATATAGGTCAAATGTGCACCCAGACATTTAGACTTTGAGAGAGCTCTATTGATTTTTATTCTATTCTATAATGGTCAACATTGTCTGGGGAAGCCAAGGCATTCCTACAGTGGCAATGCTCAGTGTAAGCTGTTACACTGCAGGGAATAAATCAGCCACAAGCAATTAATACCCAAAAAATAAATAAGGTCACTAATGTATCTTGTTAAAAAGCTCTGATATCTTTGGCATTAATGGTCAAGGACAGTTAAGACAGTTTAAATTTTATGCAAAATTTTTTAATTTTTTGGACAGGTTTCAAAGCAAAGTACATTCTGTGAAAAAGAAAAAACAGCTGACTCATTCCATCTGTGTCAATTTTGTCTAGCTGTTGTGTTAAGCTGTTATAATCTTGAACAGACTTCACACATGTATACTTTAAGTAATTCAGAATGCTATCATGGGGTTGACCTAACCTTGACCTCAGGTAGGCTTCATAGTTAAACCAAGGTGATATTTTATGAAAAACACCATCAGAGATGACTTTAGCCATGACCTCTAATCTTAAAGTTTGTAATAAAAAATAAATTTTGCTGTTAACATTATCTTTTATCTGCATATATAGGTAAATTAATTTACATTTACCTTGGCTTTTAACCTTGACATTGGTAAATGAAACATTTCTGTTGAAGATGACCTGTGGTGGTTATTTCATTGACCTTCATAGATTAAGAGACATATAAAAGCTGAGATCTTTAAATACCAGCATTGTTGTTAACCCTGACCAAGGCCAATGTGACTTTGTAATTGATTAATTAAATATGTCAGTCTCCTCTGGGGTTGACCTGTCCAGAACATCTTTAATTTGAGATTGTTAATCAAACATCTAGCTCATTATTAGGATGATCTGATGTGCTTATATCTGCTAACAAAACCACATATGGAATTATGAGTTCAACAACTAGAGTTTACCTAATCGCCTGTGACATTTGATGTCTTTATATTTATTTCTTTTGTGGACCACTATTCTTTAAAAGATCATTTTTTTAAGCTACACTAACACATATATGATAAGGATGAGATAGTTTCAATACTGACATCAGAGTAGTTGACCTAGAAGTTGGCTTTTGACCTTGAATTTGCAAATGATTAACTTCCGTTGATTTGACATAACTATCGATCACCTTGAAATTTTTATGCATGAAATAAATGAAGGGAATATTGTGAAAATGAAAGTTGTTTACTGACTTTAATCATGTCCTAGCTAGCTTTAACCTTTAAATTGAAATATGATTTTGGTCATATTTCTTCCTTTAGTGAGTAGGTAATTATACCCACTTCGTTGAATTTTTCTATTTTTAAACGAAGGGGAATGAAAATCACTTTGCTATAAGTGTGAATTCATTATAAGTGTGTTCACTTTAACTGTGTTTTACTGTATTATAAAGTTGTACTTTAAGCAATTTTTATGATAGTTATTGGTCATTTATATCAATTTCTTCTCAACCACAAGCATTGCCTCTTTCATCTCGCAAGTAAAAACTACTGAATACAGTGCTTGCTAAACATGTATAATACATGAAAACAAGATTTAATATATCTTCAGCAGCTACAGACAAGGTTTTCATTTCCATCCAGCTCTATAAAAGTTGAAGCAGATTTTAAATCCATAATTGGCTGTACTAGCTTGTATTCCTGCAAATATGACCAATTCAGATAGGATTTGAGAGATTTTAAAGAGCTATGGTCACTTGATGTTGGTACATCATTATTGCTAAGTTAGAGGCTAATTAAACAACATGCACCAATCGCACTATATGTAACCTGTATATTGTTTTACTTAAAATACTGCAGTGAAGACTAGTATACCCTTTTTCAAGCTGTTAGTAAACCAAGTATCCTTCAGCACTTGGCCAGTTTCTCATGCAGCCAGTGTGAATATTTTAAATATAGACCACACTTAGAGTCTCTATGTTGAATTGTGTAACATACATGTAGTTGTGTATAATCTAAGGGTTCAGAAGTACTTAATTTATCTGATTTGGATAAAGTTGCTAGACAGGTAAGTAAAAACACCACTATCTATTGGTGTACTGCATGTCTACCCACAGAGGAAATGTACTTGTAGTACATGCAGCATGTACAGAACTTTATAGAGAATACTGTAGAGTAGACTTTACCAAATACGACTAAAACATAATAAATATTAGTTCTTAAAGTCACATGAGATGATATTGGTGACACTGGTACTATAACCTTGCTAAATACTGAAAAACACTTCTGAATCCTTCAGCATTTAATTTTTTGGACACAAGAACAGGTCAAAAAAGAGATCTTTGTGTCAATTAATTGTGTTTTTGATGAGGATTAAGGCCCACAAGGTTATATTGACAACGTATATATCTGTCATTAAATGCTTCAATTGCTTTAGGATGGGGAACTGTATTACCTTTTTCATCCCCCATTGACTTTTTATTGGCATAAACAAAAAATAAAACATCTTGCTGGTAGGAAGTTATGTGTGGTTCTTTTGTACCCAGTGCCATGGATATAGGTGCAAACTAGAGGAATCTGAGGAATTTCTCTGAGGCTATATTGTAACCTAAATTGCTAGGTGTACAAGTGGGCGGTATAGTGACCATTCAGAAAAAAAATTCTTTGTCACTACCATACACACCAAAGATTTCTTATTCTGCTTGACACATTTTTGACCACATTCTCTGCTTTGCCATACAGTAATGAGGGGAATGATAGATAGATGGCCTTTTACATTAATGTTTCTCTGGAAGGTGGAGCTGGGTTAACAACTGTTGAAATATTTGATTAAAGTTATGAAGTGTTTTTTGTACTCTTTAAGGTCACTATAAGAAAAACTAATTCAAGGATTTTGCAGAAAATGAAATGGCTTTGTTTGGTATATACTATACCCTATATTCATGAAAGTGGGTAATTTAAATTTTCATTAGCTGAAACAGGACCCCCCCCCCCCCCCCCTTACGATAGGAACCTCCCACCATCCCCCTCCCACACATACATGTGTATCATTATCACCTGTATTGAGTTCATTGGCAATTCAGTCAAAATGGACATAAATTTCCATCTTCTAATCAGTAAAACTCTTATAGCAAAGTCCTTGGTACCTGTGAATTTAGTTTTGCTATCCGTAAATTATTATATCTACATTTTTTCCTTCAAGTATGACTACTGAATATGTTCAGGGAAGTATTAAAATACAAAATTTACTTTGGACTACTTAAGTTTTTGTTTTGTTACCGGTAAATTGAATTCAATATAAATACATGTACTGAAAAGAATAATAATGTCAGTTTAATATTTTAAATTTCAAAAACTTAAAAAATTTGCAATAAAAGATGCAAATTTTGTTCTTTTTAACTTTAATGGAACACAAAATCAGTTCACTATGTCCATAAATTTGGTACATCAATGTTTGTTATAAGCATAAAATTTTACAAGGAATTGTTAAGAATTTTGCCAGGGATCTCAAAAAGTTTGCTGTATCCGTAAATTTGCCAAATCTCTGGCCAAAGTTTGTACTAAATAAGTTTTACTGCATTTCATTAAAAATATACAACCAAATGGAAAAAAATAATGAGATGAGACTGTGACACAGAATATTTTGGTAGTCCCTTGCTTGCAGGTCCTTGACAAACTGCATGAGTTTCATAATTATCATAAGCTCATCTTTAATTAAAAACAGCAGCTGTTTTCCAAGTTCATGTCCAGAATACAGAGTGAGTGCAAAAATATTAAAAGGGTTTAGTCCCCTTAAATCCCAATGTCCTGACATAGCTAGATCATATCTGTTGAAAGTTCTTTACTCGGGTAAAGGGTAACTGATCAGGTACTCATTAAATATTGATACAGGCTTTTTATTGACAGGCTAGCTGGCTTGTTTATCACATCTTTCTCACTTGTACATAAATCTGTGATTTTCTGTCTAATAATGGTTTATAATATTATTAAAAAGAATTCTCTCTTTCATTAGACTAACTGGATGATATATATAAGCTATATATACTTAATTTATTTATAGATCTTTCCTTCTCTTTTTGCCAGAACCTCTAAATAGAAACACTGGAGTTATATAATGATTCATCATTTTATAATTTGTTAGGGTATACTCTAGTACAATTTGAATTTTTTCTGATACAGACACTATCTCAACACCTGTTGGTTGTG